GCAGGGGTGGGGGCCCGGGGCGCACCCCACTCTCGCCGCCCAGCCTCTGACACGGGGGACACACGCGTCTGTCCAGATCCCACCGTTTGGCTCTCTTTCTTTCCTTTTTGTCAGTCGTGGGTCTTGAACTCTGGGCCTGGGCGCTGTCCCTGCGCTCTTCACAAGGCCAGCGCTCTGCCACTAGAGCCACAGAGCCACTTCCGGTTTTCTGAGTAGGTTTATTGGAGATAAGAGTTGCACAGCTTTTCCTGCCCAGGCTGGCTTTGAACTGTGTTCTTCAGATCTCAGCCTCCTGGGTAGCTAGGATGACTGGAGTGAGCCATGGGCCTCTGTCTTGGCTCTCTTTCCTTTCAGGGGTTTTGTTTTGTTGCCAGCCCTGGGGCTTGAACTCAAGGCCCAGTGCTCGCCCAGGGCTGAAGGTGATGACACCCTAGATAGACCTCAGGCCTTCCCCCCTCCCCCTCTAGCCCTCTGCCCAGTGGCAGATGGGGGAGGAGGGAGAGCAGCTCTGCTGTGCTGCTTTGTCTGCCCCAGGTCCCACTCCACCCCTGATCCCAGACCACGCCCCCTCTCTGCCAAAGAATCAGCCCTCTTAGAGCCCTCTTCTCTGACCACCTGCTCCCCTGTCTGCTTGAGTGATCCTCAGACCCTGGTGGGCTTCTGGGCCTTTCCACCTCAATCTCACCTCTTAGTTTGAAAATCATGCTTAGAACTCTTTTGTAGTTCTCAGAAAACCTTTACTTGGTTTCCCTGCCCCACCTAAAAGGGCAGGAAAGTCCATGAAACTCATCTCCAAATTAAATACCAAAAAGCTGGATGTGGAGTTGTGGTTCAAGTGGTAGAGTACCAGCCTTGGGACAGTGTCCTGGCCAAGTTAGAGCATCAGGACCAGCACAGAAAAAAAAAAAAAAAGAAGAAGAAGAAAGGAAGGAAAGAAAAGCCCCAGCATGAAGCCTTTGCATCTTTACTTTTTGGTCTCAGTATGTTACCAGGCTGATCTCAAACCTCTGAGCCTCTCTTCCAAGCCTCCCTCCCATGTGAGCCCCCCCCCCCTTTTCTGGGGTTAAATTCAGGGCCTGGGCGCTGTCCCTGAGCTTTTTCAGCATGAGGCTAGTGCTTTAACACTTGAGCCACAGCTCCACTTCTGGTTTTTTGGTGATTAATTGGAGGTAAGAGTCTCACGGACTTTTCCTGACCGGATTGGCTTTGAACCTCGATCCTCAAATCTCAGCCTCCTGAGTAGCTAGGATGACAGGCATGAGCCACCAGGCGCCTGGCTGAATTTTTCTTTTCTTTTTTTTTTGGTCTGGTCGTGGGGCCTGAACTCTGGGCCTGGGTACTGTCCCTCAACTCTTCAGCTCAAGGCTAGCACTCTACCACTTGAGCCACAGCACCATTTCTGGCTTTTTTCTTTTTGCTTATGTGGTGCTGAGGAATCGAACCCAGAGCCTCAGGCATTCAAGGCAAGCACTCTACCACTGAGCCACCTTCCCAGCCCCCTGGCTGAATTTTTCTTAAAGCTTTTCTGCATCCTTTTTGAAAGGCTCTAGGGCGGAGCTGGCCCCAGGCATCCTCTAGCACACGCCTCCCTGAGGAGGGTGGATGTGGAGGAGGGCCAGGACACAGGAGCCGCTGAGCTGGGACAGGAAGCGTCCTTGACCAGCTTCTTTGACCCACAGGAGAAGAGGCCGCTGGGGGTGACCGGCACATCCACCAGCGGGATTTAGCCTGGCTGCAGCAGGCAGATGGTGAGTTCCTCCCTCCTCTGGGATGGTGGATTCCTGGGGCCTGCCCAGAATTCCCTCTACACATGCCCATGAACCTCAGCTCCAGGGCTGAGCGCTCCTCTTTCTCCCCAGTGGTTGTGGCTGAGGTGACGCAGCCCTCCTTGGGTGTCGGCTACGAGCTTGGCCGGGCCGTGGCCCTCCATAAGAACATCCTGTGTCTGTTTCGCCCGCGGTCTGGCCGAGGTGAGCACCCCAATCTTCCCCTATGGCTTTTGTGAACCCTGCTGCTCCTTCCTTGGTGGCTGGGGCAGCTGTGAAGTGGGGGACAGTGAAAAGGAGGTGGCCCTACCCCACCCCTGCTCCCCACCAGTGCTTTCAGCCATGATCCGGGGAGCAGCGGACGGCTCAAGGTTCCAGGTGTGGGACTATGAAGAGGAAGAGGTGGAGGCCATGCTGGACCGATACTTTGAGGCTGAGCCTTCTGCTTGGGTGGCTGTCCCAAGGGACTGAACTGCCGGACTTAACCCCCCCTCCCCCCATTAAATCCTTCCGACCTCTGCCATGGCTCTGGTATTGCCCCTGCCCAGGTTTGTCTGTCTGTGTTGTAGTCATAGTGGAGCAGCAAAACTCAGCACTCCCACACCACTCCATTAGTTTGGTGTGGGTTAATTTTATTTTTTTTTTGCAGTATTTGGGCCTCACTTACTTGGGTTGCTTGCTTGGCTCTCTGCCACTTGAGCCATCCCTCCCAATTGTGCTTTTTGTTGATTATTTTGTAGATGAAGTCTCTCAGACTTCTCTGCACAGGCTAGCTTCAAACCAAGATCCTTCAGTTCTTTGTCTCCTGATTGGCAACTATTATAGGTATTAGCCACTGGCTCATGTTAGGGTACAGACAGATTCTAAACATCTTTAGCCCCCAAAGTGTTGGTTATCTCACTAAGGAATTGGAGAAGGCAGGTGTGGGGCTGGAGCCAGGCTGGATCTGAATCTGGCCACACAGACCTTCATCTCTTGTCAGCTTAGGTCAGGTGGGTCTGCTGTGGGCTGTTTGTGAGGACAGAAGAATCTGGAAGGCTAAAGGAAACAGTAAATAAGCCAGGCACCGGTGGCTCACACCTGTAATCCTAGCTACTCAGGAGGCTGCGATCTGAGGATTGTGGTGCAAAGCCAGCCCAGACAGGAAAGTCCATAAGACTCTTATTAATCTCCAATTAACCACCAGAAAAAGCTGGAAGTGGTGCTGTGGCTCAAGTGGTAGAGTGCTAGCCTTGAACAAAAAGCTCAGGGAAAGCGCCCAAGGCCAGAGTTCAAGCCCCAGGACTGGCAAACAAACAAAAACAGGGGCTGAGAAGTTGGTTCAGTGGTAGAGTGCTTGCCATGCAAGTATGAGGCCCTGGGTTCAATTCCTCAGCACCACATAAACAGAAAAAGCCAGAAGTGATTCTGTGGCTCAAGTGGTAGAACACTAGCCTTGAGCTGAAGAGCTGAGGGACAGCGCCCAGGCTCAGAGTTCAAGATCCACAAATGACTAAATAAATAAACAGTAAGTGAGGGGAGCTGGCTGGGAGAGGTCCCGGGAGCTGAGGTGACCAGCCCCGGGGCAGCTGTCCAGCTTGCTTCCAGAAAAATGTGTGAAAAAAAGGAAATTTATTCAGTAAACAGAAGAAGGTGCCGGACCCTGGGAACCCCTCTCCCCTGCCCGGAAACGCTGAACTCCCCACCCCGCCCGCCCCGCCCGACGCTGGCAGGGCCGCTCCAGGTGTTTCCTGCGCCTCCCGCTCAGTCATAGCCCTCGTCGTCTTCGTCCTCGTCACCGAAGAAGAACGTCTCTCTGTCCAGGTTTTCCGACTCCTCGTCGTAGGAGAAGCTGTCGTTGTCCAGCTCCTCATCAAACTCCTGCTGCCACTCAGGCACATCATCCTCGTCCTCTTCCTCCTCCTCCTCCTCTTCCTCCTCCTCTGCTTCCAGCCCCGAGGAGCCCTGGGGTCTGGGGAGGGTCACTACACTCAGAGCAGGCCGGCCCCCCGCTGCCCGCTTCGGGTCTGCCCCGCTCTACTCACTGGCTGCTGGGCACGTTGGATCCCTTTGGCTCCCGGGCATCGGCTGACGGGCTCTGGAGACCGACCCGGAAGTCCTGAGAGGAGATGGGAGCACGTGGAGCAGGCGTGCAGAGGACACTGGGCCTGTGGCTTGTCTCCTGCGGGCGAGGCTCCCTCCC